TTCTGCATCCATACTATGGCCAATCAATACCAATCCTCCGTGGCTTCGTTTGTCTAATGTACACGGCTGTTAACATTTAAATCCATAGCCGTTGGCACAGATTGAGGGCACGTAAGTACCGTGCGAGCTCTCAAGGCTGTTTTGACTATAAGCAGAAGGCAACCAAATCACGGTTCGGTGTAAATACTAGGGTTATCTCTAGATCGTTCGGTGACTCGTGAACGAGATGGAATTAGTAAGAAAAAAATGGCGATAAAGAGACAGCAAGAGTAAATGGTTGAATAGAGAGAGAGAGAGAGAGAGAGAGAGAGAGAGAGAGAGAGAGAGAGAGGACGGACAACGGCGAAAATGACTAAAGACGACCAGGGGTGGAAAAGCAGCGCGCGTTCCAAGACACAGAACGCATAGCGCGCTAACCGTGGTGTGCGGCGGCGCGAGGCTTAGAAATTAAGAGAGAAGGGTAGTTTGGCGTGAGCTCTGGAGTAATTAGGGCCGCCTAGAGAGGACCATCCTGGATAGAGTTCCTGCTGCAGAGGAACCACTGCCACTGGTGCGACAGCTATATCTGCCAGGAAAGAGAAGCTATATTGGAAGCAGAGTCAGTTCCCGCAGCGACCATTCGTCGTCTACGGAGTAAAGGCCGTGCTGCGGCCCTTCCTGCAGCTACCTCCATCATCGCCAGGGCGCCGTTGTCAGTGGGTCTCCGCTTTTGCCGGCGTCGCCTCTCTACCGAAGGACCGACGGTGCCCGGTGGGTCCAAAGCCAATTTAATCTCTCTCGCGCCAGCTCTCGGTCGTTTACAGATTCCAGTTTATCAAGCGTAATTTTATTGCGCACGCTGAGCGATCTCGCTCGCGTGATCCCGCAAACTCTGGTCGCGAAATGCTGAGCGAGCGCGCTCGCCACGGCGAAGTAAATCTTGTAGCGTTTATTTGTAAATGGGCGTCAATAAATGAGATCGACATATGTAATGTAAGTTAATCAAATTATTTGAATCATCCTCCCCAACCAGAGCGAACGTGAAAGTCAGCGCCGCCTTTCTTTACCGAGGAAGAACCCAGTAAAATTTAGCAGAGACCAGCCCAAGGCGCACGGTGACTCACCCCTCTTGCAGAACGGGCTTAATTTTTGGGTTAGATCGTTATACGAGGTGTGATCAAAAAGTAAGGTGAATTTTTATTTTTCTCAAAAAATATTTAATTAATCATCAATTTTTATTTTATCTCCTTCAAAGTAATCCCCCTCGGATATAATACAATTGTGCCAACGCTTTTTCCAATCCTCAAAGCATTTCAAAAAATCATTTTTTGTGATCTTGTTTAGTTCATCCTTCGATGCCGTCTTTATCTCCTCAATCGTGGCAAAACGCCGTCCTTTCATGGGCCTCTTCAGTTTTGGGAACAAGAAGAAGTCACAGGGGGCCAGATCTGGGGAATACGGTGCCTGTGGCATCGTTACTGTGTTGGTTTTAGCCAAAAATTCGCGCACAAACAACGATGTGTGAGCAGGGGCGTGATCATGGTGCAAAAGCCAATTTTTATTTTTCCACAAATTTGGACGTTTCTGGCGGATTGCTTCGCGCAAATTGCGCATAACTTGCAGGTAATATTCCTTATTTACTGTTCTACCCTGTGGCAAGAACTCATGATGCACCACGCCCCTGCAGTCAAAGAAAACTGTAAGCAAAACCTTTACATTTCATCGAACTTGGCGTGCTTTTTTTGGTCTTGGTGATCCAGAATGCCTCCACTGGGACGATTGAGTCTTAGTCTCGACGTCATAACCGTATTCGTCACCTGTTATAACCCTGTTGAGTAAATCTGGATCATCGTTGACGTCATTCAGTAGCTCTTGGGTGATGCTCATGCGACGTTTCTTTTGGTCGAAATTGAGCAATTTCGGAACAAACTTCGCTGACACACGTCTCATGTCTAAAACACTCGTCAAAATTGATTGGCACGAACCAAATGAGATGCTAATATCATCAGCAATTTCTCTAATGGTAATTCGACGATTTCCCAACACTATTTTCTTCACTTCTTCAACATTCTCATCAGTTGTTGATATGCTGGAGCGTCCAGAACGAGGTTCGTCGTCGGTGTCTTCTCGGCCTTCTTGGAAGAGTTTATACCACTTGTAAACATTTTTTTGGCTTAAAGTAGACTCACCGTATGCCACTTTCAGCATTTCAAGTGTTTTGGAACATTTGATTCCATTTTTCACACGAAATTTAATACAAACTCTTTGATCCATGTTTTTAGACAGCAGCAAATCGTGGAGCACGCAAAACACTTCTAACCTTGATGCCTCTCACAAACAAACTAAACATACTACAAAGCTGAAATTTGGAACGTATGTTCTAGACGAGTGTACCGACATAACCAAATAAAAAAGTCGAAGATCGAACGGACGTAGCCCGCTAAATTTCAAAATTCACCTTACTTTTTGATCACACCTCGTATATAGAGTTCAAGCATTTTCTGCGTAAATCGTAATATCCCCGCGAACCTATGGTTTTTATTTTTTTTTCAACACAGAATCTGAAAATCGATTTATTTCAACATCAATTTTTGAATTCAATACGTTAAAAAGATAAATAGAAATTATAGTCTCGCAGGGACTTGTCAACGCACCCAAAAACACGTTACGTTCTAAATTAAGACCTATCTAAAAAAATCGTGCCTGTCTTCGAAGTAGAATTCTGAGCGCACCACGGTTGGCATGCTACGCGTTCTGAGCTTAGTATGCAAATGTCAGTAAATATAAAAAGTTTATAAATAATATAAGAAATTTTAAATTATGAAATAAATAATATGCAAAGTTTGTAAATAATATATAAAATACTCACCATTATTCGCTATTATGTCCACCGCGAACCAATTTTTCCTGAATTTGGCTTCAATTCGCTTTCCCACCCGCCTCGAATTCATCGACTGCACCAAACTATACTCCTTCACACCTTTCCACAAAACCAAACAGTACTTTTTCATTTCATTCGCGATGATCGGAATACCATAGCCATCTGACGGTTTTTGCAACTTGGTTATAAAAAGAAAATAGTTGCCAACAAATTTATTTGTTTTGTAGTTTATTTTTCGTTCCAAATTCGGTAAAATATAAAAATCGATTCTTTTTTTAATGCGCATCACTATCTAATGTACAAATTGAACGTATCAAAAAGATAATAGGGAATAATGTTAATTATTTATTTGATTTTAAAAATATCGGGTCACATTGGTTCAGTATATTCGACAAAGAAATGTATAGAGGGAAATTTAAGACAGAAATAGCTTTCAGCGAAACATTTTTTCGTTACTAATCAAGAAAGATTTCTACAAAGTTTCAGATCGATCAAAAAAATATTGAGAAAGAGCTTTTATACAAAATCTACGCGCTGGTTAGCAACAACGAAATTATGCTTACGTGGCTGTTGGCGTAGCACGATGCTGCGTGCAAGACCGTGCGTTTGTGGTGAAAACGCTCTATTGCAGTGATTATTTATAGAATTAATCTAAATCTTAGCAGAAATCTTCATTAATTTTTAATGAACAAATGTGTCTCTGGAAGTTATTCTAGTCTTCATCTTCCTTGCATTCATTTCGTCCTTGAGTGTACTATAAGCATGTGACTCGTAATGGTTTGCTTAGAATTAACAAATAATTAATATTATTCCACAATGGCTTTTTAATCAGTTTAAGGTATTCACCAAATCATTACACGTATTTGGAGAAAAGAATCTATTAATTATGATGATATTTGACGAAACTAAAGCAAGTTATTTGAAAAAAAACGTATAAAAAATTCCATTTCAAATTTTAGTTATTTAATTTTTCAATTCAATTTTTACTTTTTCTCTTAAACTTGACATGTTACTACAAAATGAAAGTTATAAAAAAGATAGCAATTATTACGGATATAATGGCAAATTTTATATTTTACTTTTTTTAGATTTTCAACTTTTGAAAATACATTATCAATGAATCACGTTTTGGAAAAATCGAGCCCCTTAATGACCTATACAAAATCAATATGGTGTTATTAATTCCGTTAATCGATCTTTCTTCTAATAATATAAAAACACATTTCAATGCTTTGACATGGGAATTTCATGACACCGATTTTCTTCAGCTAAGGCACACGCATATTAACCCTTCTCACCACTTCCCGCTCGTCACTGAGCGCACATACTTCTAAAGCCACACGCTGGTTGATCAATCTTTGAAGCTAATAACTTTCCATTATAGCTATTAGTAAGCTTTATATGAATAACAGAGATATATTATATCTAGATTGTAATGGTGCTATATTCTTCTATGATGTACCTACTCAAGCCATTTGCATCGTTCTTGTTAACTACTGCAGAAATATCTTTTGATGCACCCCATTTAGTTCAAGAGTTGACTATTTAGTTTGGACGTCCACTGTAAAACCTTACGTTATAAGCGAGCGTGAAAGCCGTCTGCTATTGCTATGTTACTGTTAGAAAGTGAGTATACGGGTAATTAAGAAAAGCATAGGGAGACATGACATTGTTATATCGAATAGACTTATTCTTTGGGATCTGTAGCTATACAAAAAAACAAAATTAACAATCAAGGTCATGTGACACATTAGCTGAGGTATCGTAGGCGAATAATGACCGAAAAAGTTCGTAGAAGTGAGAGAGAGACAGAGAGAGAGAGAGAGAGAGAGAGAGAGAGAGAGAGAGAATAAATTAGCAGCATTTGAAAAATGCTAATTCTTAAAAACAGTAATTCTGTTTTATTAAAATAGGATGTCATATTAATTTATAATTAATCCTTAACGAAATTATAGTATTCATATTTTAAAGTCAATATTATAACTATTTCTTTAATTGTTTAATATTTATTGAAATACAAGAAAAGTTCAACAAATATTTCAATTTACATTTTTAAATAAAAACTAATTAATATATTACTTATATTTTAATATTAATAATTTTATTGTACAAAACAATATTAACAACAAAATTAACATACCATATGCAAGCCATCCAATGAGCTATTAGCGCGAACGTAGCCATTAACAATACGAGTACAGCGGCTCCATACTCACTATATCTATCAATCTTTCGAGCGACTCTCACCAATCGTAGTAGACGTGCTGTTTTCAGTAGTCCAATAAGGGTGGTAGTCTGGAATATATTTAATTAATATTTTTATTAATAGCTTTTTACTTGAATTTCATATATTATTCAACTGAGGAATCAAGTGAATCACTATTCTCGTATTTCAATAATAACTTAGAAATGTTTAATTTGAAATGTAACTATTTATAATGTTCGTTCTATATCAGATTCTTTTAGCTTTTTAATTGAAAGAATTTTCTTTTCTTTTCTAAAGTAGAGTTTTAGAGTAAATTCAAGATTGTAAAATAGACATTTTTAGGACGAGGTCTCATAAATTGTGTTCGATATTCATCTCAACTTTCTTATGTTACAAGATATCAGAAAAGACTTTTATACGATAGACTTATATATTTATCAAATTTGTATATTTCATATTATACACTCCCGGTCAAAAGTATTTGCCTATTTAACCACCAAATCAGTAAAACTTAAAAGTTTAATATTTCAGTTGAAAAATGACTCACACAGGTGAACGAAGGCTAATTGACAAGTTTCTCCAAACACTTTCAAATAGTATACGAGGTCTGTCCCAAAAGTATTCGACTTACCTCGATTTCTTGACGCTGGATTTAATCTTAGTCATTCGCGGGGTGGTATCCTTCAAAATAGTTCCCAATTAATTAAATAAGATGCTCATATCGATGTTTCCTCTTATTAAAACACTCTTGAAAGTCAGACTTCGGAATCGCCTTTGGTGTATTCGTCGTATTAGTTTCAACAGTCTCTTTATCTTCGAATCGATGTTCCTTAATCAGTATTTGCAATCGAGGAAAAAGCCAAAAGTTGCAGGGAGACTAGCGAGCTGCACAACACTGCGTTTCAATAAATACTGCTGCACAAGGTTTGATGCGTACGCTGGAGCATTGACGTGATGAAGAAACCAGTTATCGGTTCCCCAAAATTGTGGTCGTTTTCTCCTGATAGCATCACGCAATCTTTTTAAAACTTTAACGTAGTACTCTTTGTTGATTGTCTAACCTGTAGAAGCATATTCGTGGTGTACAACGTTCTTATAATCAAAAAAATCAATCAACGTTAACTTGATATTACTTCAACTATGACGGGATTTTTTCGGCCGAGGCTCCAATGGAAGCTTCCTCTACAAAGATTATTGTTTTGTTTCAGGATCATAACCATAAATCCATGATTCATCACTAGTGATACTGATCATTTCTAGTCGGAGGTTTTTCTGCTGATCTTAGAGTAGTTTCGGGATGAATTTTGTATACACACGAGTCATTCCCAAATTTTCAATTAAAATTCCTCAAACAATACTTTTTGCTTTCGAACTGCATCTAACAATTTTTTCACAGTCAAACGATGATCTTGTTCAACTATGACACGCACACGTTCGACATTATTCGACGACGTTCCCGCCAAAGATCGACCAGAACGAGAGTCACTGTGAATAGATGTGCGGTCACTTCTGAACCGCCTATGCCACTATTTTATTTGTATTTTGGCCAAACATTTATTTATAGAGGCTTTTTGCAACATTTCAATAGTTTCCACGCAACTGTTATTGAGATCAATGCAAAATTTTATGCAAATTCGCTGTTCAGTTCGTTGTGTTATTTTTAGCAATAAACGAATTGCGATGATTGCAAAAAAGTCATTGTAAACAAATACATATTGCACGGAAAATAAGGCGTTTTATAGAACTATTGACAAAAAGATTAGGAGTTGCTGGTGGCGTTCGTACTGTCCAGAGGTCATCTAAATGTCTCCGCGTGAAGATATGAATATAGGTCGGATACTTTTGCGATATACCTCGTGCATAAAACAATGTAAATAAATTCATCTTTATCTTGTCATCAAAATTTAAATAAATATTTTCCAGAATTATTTACCCATCAAAGGTCGCGGTCGAGAGCCGTAGGTGAGTAGGCACGAAGTGGCCACGACGACTGCTGCCCAGCCGAAACACTTTATACAGTAAAATGGAAAAAAGTCAGATTTGTTCAACAGAATATACCTATTTCTTCATGCTTATACGTATCGATTTCCTAATGTGGTATATAGTATAAAAAGTCTAGATTATGCTCTATTATCCGAAATAAGATTTACTTTGATAGCTTTTGATTTGAGAAACTTATTTGAGTTTGAAATTTCGAGTAGTATTGCTTTTTTGCAATTTTAAGATTCTTATAACGCTTTGTTTTCTTTTTATCTGTCTCTAAGTCTTTTATGTATTTTACGTTTACTAATCACGTACAAAATAATTGATGATTCATGGTTCTCGATTGTTTCTTATTGTACGCTATGAGTGTTTTATGACATTCTACAGATGGGTTATTCTTGGCTATTTCGATTGACTTAAAACCCTTAGGTCACGGACTTTTTTTTAATTTGGCACAATTATTATACACATGAAAGTGAGATTTTTCCCAAAGTTTGATGACGATATATTAATTATATCAAAAGCTATTAACAATTAAAGAAAAATGATAAAAAATTTTCAAACGGCTATATTTTAAAAACTAATAAAGATATCGAAGTCGGATTTTTTTCATAATACTTAGAATGCCTTAAAATTTCAAAATAATTACAACAATAAACAATAAAAATTTTTTTTCGAAAGTTATTAACTTTTTGTTCAAACAATTGCTAATATCTCAAAAACTATATTTTTTTTTTTGAAAAATTCTTGCTCCTACGTATTCCTGAGGATTTTTGCTATCGAAATCAATCATAAAATTCAAGGGCCCAACATATCGGAAGGCGTTACCTTAATCAAAAAAAAAATTTTTATTGTTTATTATTGTAATTGTTTCAAAAGTTCAAGATATTATAAGTATTTTGGAAAAAATCCAACTTCGATATCTTTATTATTTTTTACAATATAGCCGTTTAAAAATTTTTTATTATTTTTCTTTAATTGTTAATAACTTTATAACGAACGGCCAGACCCTCGTTATGTCTCTCTCTCCCCACACATAATTATAATTATTTTTATATATATATATTTGTCATATAATTATTTCACTTGTATGGCAGCCAAAGGTAAGTCAGAGAGAGCGCTAATAGAGGGCGAGCTGGAGAGAGAGAATTCGGGAGGCCGGCGCGACGCGCGCGAGTAGGAGAGTGGGGCAAGAGAAAGCCCTGCGATAAGAACTCTCTCTTGTACCGGCGACTTCGAAGCATGTGGACGTGTGACGAGCGGATATACGTGCTTGCGACCTTTTGTGATCTGCGACTATTTCCTTGGTGTTTCTGGCGAGTACGCGAGTGCCCACTCGGTATGAGGTTTGGTGCCGAGATTGCCCCAGTGTTTTTGGCGAGCTAATTCTAGCGACTACGCGTGCGAGCATTCAAAGCCGCCCGCCTCTTGACCGCCTTCGAGTTGCGCACTGCGCGTCTTCGCGGGCCACGTGCGAGGCCGACAACACCGTCTCCAGGGTTGACTCCGAGACGTCATTGTAAGTACCACCTCGAATATGTGTCTCTCTCGCTAACTTTTCGCCGCTCTCTCTCCCGCTTACGCTGCGTACTAACTTTGTACTATTCTCTGTAGTAAACTCAATGCTGCTCGTATATCTGTTTTCTTTCTCTGCGCTTCCTTTTTACCTATCGTAAACAATCCTGTTCCGTCCGGCTTTCGCACCTGAATTTCGTGATCGCTCCAAAGCGCTCATAGGACTACACGACGCTCTCCGCGGGCCAAGGTAACAGACGCTGCACCACGACGTTCCTGTTGCTGCTGGGTTAGGCTTTGCGCAGCCTATTACGAGGCCCACTCCGAGCTGTTTCTAATTCCCTCGTAATTTATATAACGAGTGACCCGCGTTGGGTCAAACCCCCGTTATAACTTCTAATATAATTAATATATCGTCATCAAACTTTGGGAAAAATCTCACTTTCGTGTGTATAATAATTGTGCCAAATTAAAAAAAAATCCGTGACCTAAGTCAATCGAAATAGCCAAGAATAATCCAGTTATGGAATTCATGGTTCTCCATGCTTCCTTAATAATCATGCAAAACTATAAAAGTGCGATTCAACTTAATGTAATAACCAGATTTATTCATAAATTCATTTATTTTTAACTATTCTACGTTAATATTCTACATGTTTGTGTAGAAAAAATTTGTTTTATCAATGTAAAGAGGAGTACGAAATAGTTTTTTTACGTTTGTGACTCGAATTGAATTGCATATAGTTTCTTGCGATCAAGGGTCTCGGTCGATAGCCGCAGGAGGGTAGGAACAAATTTAGCTGTAGCTCCATCCGACATACACTACTTATACAGTAAAATGGCTGTTCTCGAGAAAACTGAACTCTTTTTATTCTTTTTGTATTTCCCTGTAACCTTCTGATTACCTATTAGTCAAATCAAAAGTTGATGATAACATCTATACTTCAAAAAAATTTCATTTTAAATATTACTGTTTTTTAAAAGTTATTCAAGAATACGTTCTGTTGGCTTTTTGTCAAACTGTAATAATTAATATTCAGTGTGTTTCAGACCACCCGTACACCCCTTTTAAAATCTGAAATACGTGTTTGTGTGAAAAGTGGTTCAAATGAAAGTTGCTAGACTCTGAGGCACATATTATGGTGATCTTGAGTTTGACCTTGAAGGTCAGTTTCAAGGTTATTTCAAGGTAAACTTTGCTTTTTTGAATAGGAACCCCTATCTTTGACACCGGATTTGGAAAGAGCAGGAAATACTACCTTCAGATGGCCTATCACACATGGGGTCCGGAAGACCCCCAAGGTTATTCCACTAGGTTCAGTTTTGTTTTTTTTCTTAGTTTTTTCCGTTTAAATGGCTTAAAAATTATTACCTTCACGGTATTATTTCTAAAAGGTCATTTCGGAGTCATTTTAGATTTTTTGAACAAAAAACTTTGAATGATAACTTTGAAGTAGGTTATTTAGACTGAAGCGATTATTCAGATGAGACATGGTATTCGTTAACACGGATTCTATGTTGATAAATTAAATAAAAATGTTTGAAAGAGGTTTTCGAAAAAGTCATTTTCAACCTCGGAATTAGTGTGGCT